CCCCCCCCCCCCCCCAACCCTAGGCCAGCATTGCTGGAAGGACTTTAGAGTAGTTTTTCATGGAAACCACGTTTCGATGATAACAATGATGTATTACAGTAATGCATATGTTGGGTTATTCAGAAATAAAGAAGTCAGTTGGGGGTGGTCAGCTGGACAATAGCTCCCAGTGGTGTGTGAGAATGCTATATTTATAAAATGCTGGTCTGCAAACAAGACACTAAGCTTCGCAGTTTGCACTTCAATAATAATAGTATAGTAGTAACATGGCTGCACATATTACCTGGAGGTTGAGGTTTTACCAATGCTCTGCTTTGTTGTTGTATCGTTGGTGGGTTTGACTGGAATTGTGTAGATTGTGACTGTTGCTGGTGCATTTGTTGTTGTTGTTGCTGCTGCTTCTTCATCTTCTGGAATCTAGGAGGAATTTCTCGAGGATACTGTTGTTGGTCTGTGCGTTGTTGTTGTGGTTGACGCTTAGCAGACTAGAAAATAATAACATTAACACAATTATTAATAGTAAATACTGCTAATTAAACAATAGAAAACAATAGGATTAGCATTATTTAGTGGTATTTATGGTTCACACTTATAGTCTTTGTACTCTATTAGAAGAACGAAGTGGTTTATGGTAAGTTCRAAAACACATGAATAATTAATGAGCATTTAGACCTATCAGGTCATTCAAACCCACGTGTAACAATGTTTGTAGCAGTACTGACGTTTCTCAGTGACGTTAGTCCTTCAGAGTAAAAATTAATATGTTACATTCAAACCTTCAGTTTGCAGTGTTCCTGTTAAAGTGTGCATTGTGTATAATTTTGGACTTCAAATGACTTAATCCTTGTGTTTCAATGTATGAACAATGGAACATTTTCATGTGGCTTTACTGGCCTAAAAATATTGCCTGCTCAATGGCTGGACATGATGATGGGCTATTATCATATATTGGACTGATCAACATGTGGCCAGTCAATGAGACCAGTCAGAAAGATTGGCCAGTCATTGACTGCACACTTACCAATAATTATATCATTATTTAGGCCAGACATTGCCTTTTGGCTGGTCATGATTTCATTATTTTAGCCCTGCTAAAGGCAAGTTAATTAAGTCAATCATAATGTTTTCCATTGTTCAAGAGATAACTGAGATCACTGTAATACTTTTCTTGTTGTGATTAGATTATTAATTTATTATTAGAGTTATTTAATAACCTGTAATTTATTTGCAGCTTTGACTTGTTCTTCTTTTTCTAAAATTATAAAATATAATTTACTATCATTACTTGAAATCAAACAGGGTCATCAATATTTTCCCATGTCGCACCATAACCTGCGACCCCCTCTAATAATACCCACATGGATGTAGCAATAGACTGCCAATGGTAAGGGGGCCACTGGCACCCCTAGGACCCTTCTCTTATGGATGCATCCCTGATCATTGCTAGTTGATATCCATAATAAATGTCATAAGCTACAGAATTGAGGGTGGCATAGCAGCAGTGTACTTGGCTCTCACCTCTGGGGTCTCAGGTTTGATTCCTGGACTTGGCATCAAATGCCATTACACTGTCATTCTCTGGTGATTTTTGCGGCAATTTTTGCTGCGATTTATTTTGGCAATTTTCGGAAATATGAAATCTTTTATCTCATCCTTTAAAAGAGACATTCGTCTAGGAAAATCTAGGTATCCTGAAAAAAACTTTACAAGTAAATTCTTTACCATTATTAATTTATTATTGAAAAAATTGCAAAAAAATCACAGCAAAACAATCACAGCAAAAATCACTAGTGTAAAAGGGGCTTTAGAGGTTGTTAGGTCTCTCAATTGATTTGAGGGTTTTCTACGGGTTCTCTGGTTTTCATCCCTCCGCCAAACCTAACATTGAATTACAATTCAATTTGTAAGCTACCCATGCCCTGACTTTGATCAGCCTAGAAGTTGTGTTCAGGTATTAATAGAATTTGAATGTTGAATACACAATTGTACAAGACCTACTGTGACCTACCTTTTACAGCTTGTAGTGCTGCCTAAAATTGAAGAACAAAAAATATAGAAATGAATGTATTATGCATAATCACATTAGCAAGAATCAATAAAGTACAGTCATTTACTTGACTGTAGGTATTAATTGAGCTAGCTTGAAAATGTTCTCACGAAAAAAAAATTACACAAGACTTGGCATTTTTTCCAAACTTGTACCATGCATCAGACTTAGACACATCATGCCTATTTTCAACTTCTGACTTACAACTTAACTTCCTTCTCTGAACTTCCCATAAGAACTTTGAACATGTTTATAGTAATGAATTAGTTATAGCGACAGCTGACATTCTACCTAACAACGACCCATTCATACTATTAAAACAAACACGCAAAGGTGTGTCTTCAATGTGTAGTTCCAAAAATTATCCAAACCCTCCTCACGGAGGAATTTTTTTAAGACACCCCCCTTCCCCCCGGAAATTCCAATTATCTTCCATGCAAACTCTAAGTAATTTTTTTTTTCTCTGACCCCCCTACTCTTCGGTAATTCCAAATTCCTCTGTGGGGAGGGTATGGATGATTCCTGGAACTACACAATCAGTGAAATTTATCTCAAATGGAATACCTTTCTTGCTGCCTTTTCCTTGTCTGCTTTCTCCTTTTCAGATTTCTTTCTTTTTTCTTCTTCTTCTTTTCTCTTCTTTTCTTCCTCCTGCTGTCGATGTCGTCTCTCTTCCTTCTCCAGCTCCTGTCTCTGTTGTTTTTCTCTTTCCTTTTGTTCTCTGAAATTATATATTCTTATTTTGAAGCTTCATACTAAACATGAAAGTGCATTTCTCCCTCCTCATTTCATTCATTTCTAGCCACTTCTAAAGGAAGTCCCCCACACCTCTGGAATTTCACATTTTCTTTCGTACAAGCCTTGTTTTTCCTCTTAATCCCTCACCCCCTGGGAATTTCTGACCATAGTGGAATATGGATATATTCTTGCAGCACAAGGCCTTTTTAGACTTTAGACTATGTTATTCAAGACTGTGTTTTATTGTTCTGTGATAGTGTTGTTTCATTCCTTCATCTCAAAATGAAAAAATAAAGTAAACTAAAGTAAAGTAAAGTAAAGTGAAGTGAAGTGAAGTGAAGTNAGTGAAGTGAAGTGAAGTGAAGTGAAGTAAAATAAAACAAAACAAAAAAATAATAATAAAACAAAAAAAGAAAGAAAGAAAGAAAGAAAAGAAGAAAGATAAAAAAGAAAAGGAAAAGTGCTACTATAAACCAAAATCCCTTGATGAAAAAAATAATTGTACAGAAAAATGAACCAGCTTTCAATCTCACCTTTCTTTCCTTTTCCTCTCCTCATTCTGAGATTTGATTCTTTCTTCTTCCAATCTCTTCTGCTTTTCCACTTCCATCTAAAATGGGAAAGAAACAAATTAGAAAATCTCTCAATATATTTTTATTTTTTTAATTGAAAAAGCTGTTAAGTCAGACAAGAACAGGATCCAAGAATAATTGCTGTATTTCATTATGACGTCACATGAAAACCATCTTTTGTTTTATTGCTAAGAATCATGGTCATGGGAGGGAACAAAACAGCTACAGCTGAAACAGTGTATTTTTTAGAGCTTAGGAGATGGAGCTTAGAAAAGTAATAGCCACCAAATACTGTATRTTGATGGTATTCACAGCCTCCATGCTGGATGAATTTAATGAACAATTCGTTATTTTGTTATTTCATTCTCTTGGGAATGATTGCAAACCAGCAATATTGTAGGATAAACACCCATTTATAAAATGTTTGTAAACTAGACACACCAGAGCTATCAGTTTAGYTGCAGAGTAAAATGACTCATCAAAATTATCATTGTTTTTGCCATTTTGTCCCCTTGAAAAGGAGTTATGACGTCACAGTGAAAAAGAGCAATTGGGCAATAAAACGTTAGCAGTCTCTCAGCATTTTTGGACCTGGAGGGATGTTGCAACTTAAAGCCTATTGTTTTTTATGCCTGTTTTCTTTGCTTGTCCTTTTCTTCATCTTCCTTTCTCTTCTCCTCCAGTTCCATAGCAATTTGTTCCATTTCCTTTTGAAAGATACAAACCTCGTTATTATATATTTGAATTCAAGATAATTGTGTCCCAATATTTGAACCCTGGTTGCCAAGGTAACAATGTTGCTAGGTACCCTGGTTTCCAAGGCAACAAGATTGCTAGGTTAAAAGCTCCCTTAATCTCTTTATAAAATAAAATGACCCTTTCTCATACAGCAGAACCCAGATTTACAAAGGGTGGATAGTGCTATCTGGTGGATACGTCCTATCCAGTGGATAAATTTATAGGACAACAGAATCAACTTATCCACTGGATAAAGATTTATTCACGGGATGGCACTATCCACCCTTTGTGGCCTAGGCCCTGTATAGCTTCACTGGCTGGAATGCTAGATTGTGGCCTGGGTAGACGAGATGCTAGCCCAAAGTACAGATTTTCTACAAAGTTATCATCTTTTCCTCAATTATTTTAAGTCCCTGAGTGTTGTTCCAGCCGGGATTGAACCAATAACCTACCACACAAAAGTTTGATGCTCAAACTTTTAACTAACTGAGCCAACCTAGGGCTGGCTATTGTTATTAATTATGTTTGTGTGTGATTAAAATAAATGACAGTTAATAGTAACTCACCTTAGCTCTTCTCCGCTGCTCAGCTAGTAACTGTTTCTTACTTTTAGGTTTGGGCTGTCAAATTATATCAACGACATGAACACATTTTAGTTTAAATGACATGAGCAGATCCAATTTTTAGCTCTAGAAAAAGAGTTTTTTCCCCATTTATTTCCTCAACTGTCAATTTGTTGCAACGTAAAATTTCAGAAGGTTTCAAGGGGTTTTGGGATTTGCATGCACCTTGCAAATGCAGTATTAGATTTTACACCTACGTGCAAGAACGTTGTCATACGATATTAGAACATTAGTAATTTAGTGAGAAAGTAATACATTAAAAGACAAAGGAAAAAGTTCAGCTTCATTGATCTTCTTTTGTTTTTTAATATAATTCCTATCCCACTAAATCACTAATGTTCTATTTTGGTATTACAACGTTCTTGCAAGTAGGTGTTAAATGAAGCCAAGTATTCATTAGATTGGGTTTACCCAGTAGTGGGCTACCTGTGTCATCATATTACCTTAGCAACTGGTACTGGTGTTTTGCCTTTCTTCATTGCATGTTGCTAGGGAAGGAATTCAAAGTACAGTTAGCCTTGGTGTGATATTTTGCATTATCAAGACCTCTTTCAATCAAAACTTTCAATATCAATAAAAAATTTAATCCATCTGGGCCCGTTTTCAGACTGTCATTCCCTTGAGTATTGTCCTTCTATTTTTTAAACTACCTTTTTGGAATTGTCTTTCCTCATTTCCTCTTTATGTTGACAGAGCATGGTCTTGAGTTCTAGAATCTGAAATGAATATTGATGTTACAATGAGATTCAACTCAAAGTTTATTCTATCTGGCCATCATCTTAATCCTCATCTCATAAAAACAGCCTCCAGATGTTGCACTCTGGTTGTCACAATTTTTTGGAGTTTTTGTTTCTTTCCATCAAATTCACAAACCAAATCAAACATCAACTTAACTTAATGCTGAAAAAGTCTCTGGGCTAATCTGAGTTGGGGCATGACTAACTCACAAATCATATTGAAATTTAGCATATGGGTTTCGTAAAGGAAGGAAAACCAGAGAAAAGGAGACAAAAAACCCTTGAATCAAGGGAGAGACCTAACAAACTCTACTCAACGTGTGAGGGACAGTTCAGGAACCTAACCTGAGACCCCAGGGTGTGCTTACCACTACTTCACCTTTGATTTCCATTTACAACAGTCCAAGTATTTGTAATATGGTAAAACAATAACATGTGGCTAAAAGGGTTTAAAATAATTGCTGATCAGTCATCAGTCACAATAACAGGGCAAATTAGTTTTAAGCTTAGTCATGCCTCATTTCTGGTCAAACACTACTGATCAAAATGACAGGTGATGCAAAGATTTGACTGCGGACAAGTTCAAATTCTAGTCGGACACTGCTTGATGTCCGGCTGTTATTTTAAGCATTGGGCTACAAACCAGGATAATAACAATAAAATATTAGTATTTAATACCTTGTTTTCATTGAACATTTCAGGAACTGATTTTCCTTTTTTCCTACGATTCTGTAACAGAATCACAACAGAATTGTATCAGTAACTAAACAAAACAAGCTTCACCTCATTAAGGCAAATTTGTGGATTCTTACCATGTACATAAAATCATCTACAGTCGTACCATCTAGGCAAGATCACCAGACATCAAAAATCTTTCTAACTGTCTCCTGAAACTCTCATATTTATTAGCTAAAACAACAACAATGGTTTATAGCAAACGAGACTGCCTTTAAAGTAGTTTCAGGAGCCAGTTAGAGCATGTTTTGATGTCTGGTGTTAGTGCCTAGATATGGTAATAAACTATTGTTTTCATACCTTGACAATCTCTATGAGGATGTCCAACTCACTCTCGCCATCAATATCTTCCTCATATTCATCATCCTGATACCTGAAACCACAAAAGTATCTTAGCTATAACACTGTTTTAAAACATGAAGTTTATGAGGGTATTCAATAAGTTGCTCAAGAGAATAGGATAGCAGGGCTAAAGACATGTTACAGCCTGTTATTGGACGATGTTCAGCCAAAATGGATCTTGCATGGTCAAATCTTTGCTTTGCTGGTTATTTTGAGGTATGACTGGCGAATGACCAGTGATTGATTGGCCATTATTTTAAGCCTTAACATGTTGGAATTGACACCGAACACTGTTTGAAACTAGATTTAAAGTACCAAGCCTTTTGAGCTCTGGTGTAATGTCTTCTCATTTCAGATCATGTCATTCCTTTGAGAATTATTTTCTCTATTCACGAGTTATGCTTAAAAAAAGCAGATAAATAAGAATAAACTCAATAATCTTATTCTGAAGAAAATAATGTAAATTGAAATGAAAAAAAAACATGGCCAAGCTGAAAAGGTCTATATCATAGTGGTTGTCATGGTACTGTTGTCGTGCAATACACTATATAGAGGTTATTAACCAGCCAGGAGGTTGGCACACAAAAACTTTGCCTGAGGTTGAAATCTGGACCAACTTTAGGTTGGTAAATAACTTTTTTTTCCTCATTTACTTTTTATCTTGTTTTGCCATTTTTTGTTGTTGTTTATAGCAGCCCATTATCCCAGGATATCGGACCGCGGTCAGATATAGAATATACTACCTGCTCATGCAGCCAATCAGAATGCACAATTTTTAGGATACTAGACTTCAAAAAAATAATTCCTATTTTTACCTTCGTAGCCTTTCCCCTTGTAACCCTTCACCCCAACACCTCCTCCTGCCCCAAATAAATTGATATCATACTTACTCTCTAAAATCAGGATCACCATCTAACGTGCTACAGCAATGTTGTTTTGATCCACAAAAGAAAGAGTAAAAGTCACTATTGCCATCAGAACCTGGAATAAAATGATAACAGTTATTTACTTGTACTACTGCTTTCGATTTGCTATGTGCTGATCGAGACAACCATGCCATGTATTTTCTTATAGTCTCCATATCCCTTTGTGTACACTAACAAGTTATTTGATTGACAGTAATCTATTGCCTAATTTTCATGTCTCAAATATTGTCTCGATCAGCAATAGGACACAAATTCCTTATGAAGATCAATCTGACATCCATGGAGAGAGCAGTAAAACAGCAAGAAACATACAAGTATCGATTAGACTTAAATGCATACTATGATGTATATGATCAAAATCATACATTTTAATATCGGTTATATGCTACTACTACTGGAGGAAAAAAATTCTAAAAATTTTTTTTCAGGTTTTCGACAAACAAAAAAAATTCAAAAACATTTCAAATTCAGTGATGGATTTTCTAAGCTAAGCTCTAAATACAGTGATCTAGTATATTCTATTGCTATAATGTACTTTCCTTTCACTCCATTTTTTCATTAATATTTCAGATCATTACAAACACATGGCTTAGAATACAAAGGTTACAATACCAACCAGATTATATAAATCATCTTTACACCCACAATACTGTCACACAACAATTTCATCACATATATACGACACTTCATATGAGGTATCAAACAAAACAACAAAATCTTTATATTTGTTTATATAAGTTGGCAGTGAAATAGTAACTTTAAAATGTGTGACTGGTCGGGTGGTTATAAAAGGAAGAATCTTAAAAATGAGATTTATATTCTTAATTTAGATTCTGGTGTACAAAATCGATCATTTGACAAAACATCTGAACATAAAAATCTCGACTTACCAAAGAGAATTTCCTCAAGAAAATCGAAAAAAATCTGAAAGAGTGAAAATAAAAAAAAATTAATGATTATTGATATGAGATAAAAGTTATGATTTTCCTGATCAAGTTACAATCTTTGGAGACATGGCGGATAATTAGAAAAAATAGGGCAATGCAATTAGCGAAGAGAACTAGAGAAAAATTCTGTTTTACCTTGTCGCTGTCTTTAATAGGATCATTTGCTTCTTCTAGAAAGATAAATATAGCGAAAGAAAATTTTAGTATAGATTTTGGTCTCGTTTTACAACGAAAGATTTATCATGAAGAGAAGGATAATCGCTACGAAACTATCACGACTTGTAGACTGTATCTTCCTTCAATCCAAGTACAAAATAATAGCACTTTAAGGCTTTATAAAGAAATTATAAACGCTTTCTCACCTATGACAAGGTTTTCGAAAGCTTTACTAAGTTCTTCGAACCGTTTTTTAGGAGATCCTTCGTTCGAATTCTGTGGAGGAACGGAGTACATAGTTACTTCGTTAGCGTGATGTGCAACCAAAACAACATCACAGACGGACATTCTAACGGGCCAAGATTCGAAACGATAACTATGGAACGACCAAGATAAAAAGGTTTCCAAGAGTTACCAAGGAATAAAGCATTTTTGTAGTTATAGTGAATAATTCGGGGTAATTTTGGTAGGACGTCGAATACCTTGTCCGGATGAAACTGAAGAGCTAGTTTCTTGTAAGCTTTTTTAATGTCATCTGAAGAAAGATTGAAAAGAATATTTATTAGAATCCATATCGTCGTGAATCGGATGATTTTCTGTGCCTACGAAGATTCCAGGGACTTTTAGTGAGCTCCAATAGACGATAAAGAGCCTTCAGTTCAAGTAAATCCACATTAATACGACGTTTGTGCTTTAGTTTGCTCAACAATCCTCCATTACTGGTAAAATCACATACTTTTATCGCTATAATTGTCGACCATAAGTGCCTTGTAAGATTCCTTTTTGTCATCCTTAGGCATTTTTCCTCTGTATTCTTCATGTATACGCTCAATCTTGTTTTGAAGTTCGCATTCGCTGAATATAAATCTCAACGTGCTGCCTAAAAACGCTTCAAAAAAACCAAGATGGCGATCCCTCCGAATGACGTCACGTGTCTAGAGGAAGTCTTCCCACAATCCACAGCAAGCTTGTGTAAACTTTGACGTTGAAACTGGATGGAAATGGATGAAATACTGTAGTGAAGAAAGAAAATAAAGGAAATATGAAATTTTGATCTTTTAAAAAGGAATTCGAAGTAAAATAAATATTTTATATTTATAGTAAAAATGGGTTATTTAACTTCGGAAGATAGTTTTGAATTTTCTTTTAACTTGATGTATTTTCTAATGTTTTATTCATGCAGAAGTTACAACGTTAAAGCTATTAGACATATAAATAGGATAGGCGAAAAATGGGATAATTATCCATTGGACGTTTTTACTAACAAGTAGTACAAGTGAATGAATTATATGAAAATCATTTTCAACTTAGAATTTACTAACAAAAAATAAAAAGTTATTCGCTTTTCAAAGATGCTAAAGAGGCATATTTCATGTAGGATTTTAGAATATTTCAAAAAATATTGAGAAAAATGGAGAAGCACGAAGTCCCTACCCCTCCCCAGTAGGGCAGGAAGTAAGAGCCCGCTGTAATCAAGTTTAGCGGTTTTCCATGTGAGTCTAATTTTCAAGAAGAGAAAGTAAAACCATGTCAAATCCGCGACGAAGAGGTAAAAAATGCCATATTTATACCTTTGATCGAGTCCTAAATCACCTTTACTAACGCTATGCGCCTTGTTGTAATGTTATTCTAGGTGGTAGAAGTTCTGATTTCGGACGGCGGGACCAGCATTGGGGGTAAATATGAGATTTTAGAAACTAACTATGACCTTCTTCTGTCAAACTTTCAAGTCAAAGCTCCAATTATTTTGCTGATATATGCCATATTATTGTATTTTTTATCTGTTTAGGTCGCCTAGATCAGGCTCTCCAGGTTCTCCTGGCATCAATGGCAGTCCAAGGACAGGTAGACGTGATCAAAGGGATAGACGGAGCGAACTACTTCCAACAGATCACGACAGTTACGTTGACTATCTGAAGAAAAGTACGTATGAAAAGAAGTTTGTATTTATATTTAGGATACGTTTCAAACTTTTCTTTCGCAATTTTATTTATCGGTTTCTTTATTAAAAAGTTAGAACTCTACCCATGCCACTGGCATATTTAACTATAAATAAACCACATTTACACTGTGGGTATATGATATATAGTTAGTGCTCTGTCCTTATTGTTTTTGGCTTAACCAATAGAGTGTTTTCTTGTCCGGTGTCAATCCAAACACCTACATTGATTAATATATGGTGCAGTTCACGATACCCAAGCAAGACCAGAATGTACTTTGTGGAGTAAAGGTCCATGCCCATATTTGACATTGTTTATGTCTGACATAATTGTGTGTTTTTGTTTAAGGATGGAACTCTGTCAAAAGTCAAATGAATGGTCAGTATCCTAAATATATACACTAGAATCAAAAATAGTGTAGTGGTAGTACTTTTGCTTAGATCTTGAGCACTTTGGGGTCTTGAGTTCAATTCCTGGTTTCAGCATCATATGTCAGCAGTGTCTCTTCCTTGATTGGAAAGTTTTTCTTTGTTTTGGTCAAATTTACTCTCTTGTTTTACACGGATTGTTTTTGTGTTGTAAGCCCTATCCATAACTTACGGTGGCCCACAAGTCTCACGGCAAAACAAAAACTCACGGCAAAACAAACTAAACTCACGGCAAAACAAACTAAACTCACGGCAAAACAAACTAAACTCACGGCAAAACAAACTAAACTCACGGCAAAAGGCAATAAATTCACGACAAAATAAACTTAACTCACGGCAGAATAAAGAAAGCCACGGCAAAATAAACTAAACTCACGGCAGAATAAAGAAAGCCACGGCANAACTCACGGCAGAATAAAGAAAGCCACGGCAAAATAAACTAAACTCACGGCAGAATAAAGAAAGCCACGGCAGAATCAGAGGAGGATGATCAAGTCGCGTGAAGCATTGTGGGGTAAAAGTTTCATTATGCTTCATTTGCATTTGACCGTCGTTGTGTGAACATCTCCTGGCGAGAAAGTATTATGAATGCCAAATCTGTCTCACCGGTTTGGTGTGGATTTTCTTGCAGTTGGTGATTTCCTATATCTACACTGTGTGTACTTTCAATTTCTACATACTTGTACGGTGAAGTCTCTGCCATTTATGTCGATAAAACTAGTTGGGGGCCACGTTAGCTTCACTGGCAACCCTCGCGAACGAAGGATTGTTTTGTTTCCTGACTGCCAAAA